GCCTTGTCAGATAGGATGCAGGCCGCTCCCTACATCTGCAGTTCAGAAACACAGCCCATACCTTTTTTTATTTTTAAGTTTAAGTAGTTTAAAATACTGTTTGAGACATACTTACTAAATTAGTACTTGTTGTTTATCTTAAATTCAAATGTGAGTGGGCATCCCGCTTTTAATTGGCTAAACCTGGCAACTTTTCTCTGCCCTCCATTCTTCTCGTTCCTTTCCTGCCTCATGAAACTGCGCCTTATTTCTCTAGCTGTAAAATGGGGTTAATGATGGTGCCTGCCACATAGGTTGTGGTGAGGATTAAAGGAAGTAAAATATTCAAACCCCTTAAATCAGTGCCTGGCATATACTAAGTCCTTCATATGTGGTATCTTTTAATATAGTTAAGGATACTTATTATTCTCCAGTGCATACTGATTAGCACCTACTCTGTGTCAGGCACCCTGAAAAGTGCTGGGCACCGTGGACAAATGGGCCTGACCATTGCCCTCATGGAACTTCCATTCCAATGGGAGACACAGGCCAGAACCGCCCCCCCCACCACCACCCCCAAAAAAACACACACACACACACACAAAACAACAAATTAGACTTACAACTGTTACACATACTCAGAAGGGATCACCAGATAGAATTACGGACAATAAGAGGAGGGGCGCTGATAAGAGGAGGGGCGCTGTCTTGGTAACTGTCCCTGAGGCTTCCCTGAGGAGGTGCCACTGAAGCTGGGAGCTGAAGGGTGAGAAGGCTGGGAAGTGAGTCCTGGGGGAGGGAACAGCAGGTGTGACCCTTTGGTGGATGAGGGCGGTCAGAATGAGGGCTGCAGCTGCAGGGGGTGGGGGTGGGGGGGGAGGTGTCCCCACTGGCCTGAGGCCTGGAGTGAGGCCTCTGGGGGGCATTTGAAAGCCAAGACGCTTCCCCTTTCCTGAGCCACCCTTCCACGTGTGTGAGAGGGGACCTGGCAGAGCCTTCCTCAGCGGGGCTGGAGGAGCAAAGAGATAATGTAGCTGTGCTAGATCCCAAACGGCATTTCTGTGGCAGACATGGCATTTTATGGGTGTTTTTTTGTTTGTTTGTTTTTTAAGATTTTTTTTTATTGATTTTTAGAGAGAGAGAGGAAGGGAGAGAGGAAGGGAGAGGAAGAGAGAGAGAAAAACATCAATTTGTTGTTCCACTTATTTATGCATCCATTGGTTGACTCTTGTATGTACCCTGACTGGGGATTGAACCCACAACCTTGGTGTATCTGGATGATGCCTAACCGGTCGAGCTACCTGGCCAGGGCCTGTTCTCTAACACTTTAGACCTTGTGTTCTGGGCGGGGGCTCTTGGGACTGCTGGCCCCCTCGGCTGTTGCAAGCTGTGACAGTGCTGTCCACTGAATGCTCTAGCTGGCGCAGGCCCCCAAGAGAGCCCTGGTGTCCCCCTCCCTGAGACTGTGTCATCGCCCCTGCCTTGCTTTCAGGTCCACCCTGAGAATGAAGAGTGGACTTGCTTTGAGCAATCTGCCTCGCTCGACATCCGGTCCTTCTTTGGTTTTGAAAGTGCCTTGGAGAAGATCGCCATGAAGCAGTACACAGCCAACGTCAAGAGGGTAAGAGAGAAGGCTCCGTCCGTCCCAGGGAGAAAAGTGCACAGACCTTGGGGGCTGCCAGTCCTGGCTCAAAACCCGCTCCGCTACTTGACAACTCCTGTGACATCACACAAGACCCTTAACCTCCCTCATCTGTAGAATGGGTATTCTAACAATGGCCATATTACAGGAGATGATGGATGGACAGCAAGCCCGTAATGGGGGCACCATAATCACTGTCCTGATTGCTCCCAGGCTTGTGTGTAAACTCTGTGGACACAGAAGGGACATTGTATGATGCTTTCTCTTGGTTAAAATTGACCCCCCGTGGTTTAAAGATCTGAGACATATCACTGAGTAGAGGCCTTTAGTGTCATGAAACAGATGAAATCCATTTTAATAATATATTTTGTCCAATGGGTTATCAATATAAAACTTACTTGGGAGCTATTTTACGTTCTTTGGTACCAAATCTCACAAATCCGGTGTGTATTTAACATTCACAAAACATTTCCATCTGGCTTGGCCACATTCCAACTGCTTAATAGCCACGTGTCAGGGCTGGGACCAGAGCCAGGTGGGGGTGACTCCCAGGCTGACGTCGGTTACCCCGCTGTCCTGTCCCGGTGCTCATGTGTCTTGGTTCTCTCTGGCTCCCAGGGGAAGGAGGTGATTGAACATTACCTGAATGAGCTCATCTCCCAGGGCATCTCTCACATTCCCCGGTGGACGCCTGCCCCGGTCCGAGAGGAGGGCGCCCGCTCCCAGGCTGGGCTGGGAGATCCCGGCTCGCTGGAGGTCCATGGGCCCAGAAGCACCCAGGGCCCCGCTGAAGAGATGGATGGTACGGAAGGTAGGTGGCTGTGGCTGAGGCCCGAAGTCCTAGGATGTCTGCTTGGTGTTTGCTCATTCTGTGGGGGGAGAATTGCATGGGTACCCTCGGGGATGGGCCTGGGTCCCGGAATGACAGCCTCCTACCTCTCATGGCTGCTTTGCCCTCTCTCTCTCTTCCAGCCCAAGAGCCAGAACCGGTTTATTTCTAGATCAGGAGTTGACTTGATCTGGTGCCTTCGGGCTCCCCTTTTCTCTGGTTTGATTACTATTTTAGATGAGATTGGGCGCGTTCAGGGTAGTATGGCCGTACACTGGTTTGATTACTATTAGATTATATGAGTAATGCATAATCACGGTGGGGAAAAAAATCCAAGTAGGAAGTAGGACTTCTCTGCTCTCCTTGGAGGCAACAATAGTTTTGTGTTTGTGAAACTATCTAGGCACCTATACATGCATAGTATGTACATACACACATACACACATACATGTGTAACCTATGCTGAACAGAGGAGAGCATATTATACATTCCATTTGATACTTTGTTTTTTTTTCACTTACCAATGTTTCTTGAACAACTTTCCGTATCAGTGCAGGTGTCTTAGCACTTTGCAGTATTTCATGGTGTGGTCACACCACAACTTACTTAAAAATAAACATTTATTGATTATTTTTAGTTTATTTAGCTAGTGGCCTACTGATGGATATTTAGGTTGTTTCTGGTTCTTTTAAAATTACAAAAATGTTTTTAAAATATTTGCATGAGTATCTACACAGCATATAATTCAAAAGGTTGAATTGATGAGTTGAGGTTATGTGCAACTAAAATTTTGGTTGATTTACCAATTAGGCCTGCAAAGAGGTATTAGGCAATGTTCCACCAAAAGTGTGTAGCTGTGTTTACTCCTGGCTTCACTATGGCTCCCTGCAGGACAATTATTAAACACTAGAGGCCCGGTGCACGAATTTGTGCACGGGTGGGGTCCCTCGGCCTGGCAGGAGATCGAGGTTGATTGGGGGCGGGAGGCCGGCCAGCCAGGGGGAAGGACCATGGGAGGTTGGCCGGCTGCCTCCCCCCCCCCCCCGCGAATCGGTTGTTTGGTCACTTAGGTTTTTATATATATAGATTTTAAACTTAAAGGCAAAAAGTGACCACTAGTCGATTAGTGATCACCTCTTTCCTATGAGTGAGGCCAAGTATTATTTTTTCATGTTTAGTGACTCTATTTAACTTTTTTTGTGAATCCCTGTTCTTGTTCTTTGTCCATTTTCCTATTTGTCCATTAATTTCTTACTACTCTGTGAGAGCTCTTTGCATATTAAGGCAATCAGCCTTTTGTCACATTTCAGACTTGTATTGACATGGGAAATGTTCACAATATGATGTTAAAGGAAGAAAACCTAGGATACAAAACTGCACATCCCCCCGAATCCAGTTTTAACATGTGTACTTGTGTTCTCGACATGTCAGTGTCTCCTAGGCGTATGGACATGTAGAGCTTGCCTGACTTAGAGAAACTCTATGTAACCAAAAATACATCTGAGGTTGTGTTTAGGAAGAACAAAATTCACCTATTTAACAGTATTTATTCTGCACCAACTGTGTGTACTAGCTGGATGCCATTGTGTGTGTGTGTGTGTGTGTGTATTTATATTCTTTGGTCAATCCTCACCTGAGGACACTTTTTCCATTGATTTTTAGAGAGTGGAACTGAGAGAGAGAGAGAGAGAGAGAGAGAGAGAGAGAGAGAGAGAGGAATATTGGTGTGAGAGAGACACATTGACTGGTTGCCTCCTGCATGCACCCTGACTGGGTCTGGGGATCAAACCCACAACCCTTTGATGCATGGGCTGACACTCTAACCACCAAGAAACTGGCCAGGGCATACATACATTTAAATAATATTAAAAAAAAATTTTTTGCAACGCTGCATTTCTGCCCCTTCCTGTGTATACACTGCGCAGGCCGTGCCCTGTGCCCTCCTGTTTTACACAGCCCTTTCCTTCCTTCTCCGTCTGGTCTGTCCACAGCGGGGCTGGTACTCAGGATGGTGGAAGGCACGGCGTGCTCCTTCCACCCTGCTCTGGATCACTGTGCCTTTGTGTTCGGGTGAAAGGGGCCTTCACAGCTGCCTGGGGGCTGGAAGGATGCTGGTATCTCCTGCCTCCCTTGTGTTTTCTTCCTCAGCCCTTCCTTGCCCCACCCCCTTAAAGCCCCCCCACCTGCCTCCAACATCTCTGCCTCTGATCCCTCTGTGGGTCTGGACATACCCCCCACAGCTTCTCTCTTGCCTCTAGTTACCCAGACGCCTCCTAGGGCAGATGGCCTGACCCCTGGGCCTGGGCTTTGTTTTGGAAGGAACCGCTGGGTCCTGCTGCTGGGTGTGCAGGCACTGTGCCATCTGTGCACAAAAAGAGCTATGCCCACGGGGCTGCTCTTTACAGAGCGTCTCACCCACTGCAGAGAGGCTAACACACTGAGATGCCTCACCATGCCGGCATCTGCCACCTCCACAGTTGAGAGTGGGCCACAGGACCTCAGCTTATGGCCAGGCCTCTAGATGCCAGCACACGCTGACCCTGAACAGCCCAATTGTGTGAGACGGGACTGAACAGTGGAAATGATCTGTGCAGTTATGGACAGTATTCTGGGATCAGTTTAAGAAAAGTCTTGCACCCCACAGGGCCTGGGGTGGTGGAGAAGCAAAGGAACTGGCATTTATCAGCTGCCTGTTATGCTGGCCACTCTGCATGCGTTCACTCATTTGAGTGTACTGAGCCTCTCTCAGGCTCAGTTTTGTCTTCTCTGAAGTGGGAAAATAGTGATGCCTGCCTCACAGGGGTGTAGGGAGAATTCACAGAGGTGATGCATATTGCTAATAATTGTTACTCCAATAACGAACAGTCAGAGGAGAAATTAAGAAAACAACCCCATTCTCAATTGCATCAAAAAGCATGAAATACCTAGGAATAAATTTAAACAGGTGAAAGACCTGTTATTTCTAAGAAAACTATAAGACACTGGAGAAAGAAGATACAGATAAATGAAGGATACACCTTGCTCATGGGGTGGAAGGATTAATATTGTTAAAATGTCCTTACTATCTAAAGCAATATACAGATCCAATGCAATCCCTATTAAAATATCAATGGCATTCTTCTCAGAATTAGAACAGTTAATCCTAAAATGTATACTGAACCACAAAAGACCACAAATAGCCAAATAAATTTTGAGAATGAACAAAGTGGGAGGTATCATGCTCTCTGATAGCAAACTATACTATAAAGCTACGATAATCAGAACAGTATGATACTTTCATAAAAACAGACACATAGATCAATGGAATAGAATAGAGAGCCCAGAAGTAAATCCTCACTGAGATGGTCAATTAATCTACAACAAAGGAGGGAAACATATACAATGGGGTAAAGAAAGTCTCTTCAATAAATTGTGTTGAGAAAACTGTACAGATATATGCAAAAAATGAAATTGGACCACTTTCTTATACCATATACAAAAATAAACTAAAAATATATAAGTAAGCTGAATGTAAGACTTGAAACCATAAAAATAGAAGAAAACCTAGGCAAGAAACTCTTTGACATCACTCTTAATAATCTGTTTTTGGATATATTTCCTTGGGCAAGGGAAACAACAAAAAAATAAACAAATGGGACTTGCATCAGATTAAAAAGTTTTTGCACAGCAAAGGAAACCATCGACAAAACAAAACCATCAGCAAAACAACCTACGGAATGGGAGGACATATTCACAAATGATACATCGATAAGGGGTTAATATCCAAAATATGTAAGGAACTCATAGCTGACATTAAGGCCAGACAATCCTTTTTTTTTTTTAATCCTCACCCAAGGATATTTTTCCATTGATATTTTAGAGAGAGTGGAAGCGAGAAGGGTAGACAGAGAGAAATATCGATGTGAGAGAAACACATCGATTGGTTGCTTCCTGCGTACCCCCGACCAGGGCCCTTGCTGGGGAGGAGCCTGCAACCAAGGTACATGCCTGGCTATCATCAATCAGACAATACACAACTAGGGTTGGTGAGGATGTGGAGAAAAGGGAACCTTTCCTTGTGCACTGCTGGTGGGAATGCAGGTTGGTGCAGCCACTGTGGAAAGCAGTATGGAGGCTCCTCAAAAAGTTAAAAATAGAGCAGCCGTATGATCCAGCAATTCCACTTCTGGGTATTTATCTGAAGGAAAAAACCCCACTAACCCTAAAAGATATATGCACCCCCATGTTCATTGCAGCATGACTAGCCAAGTTATGGAAGCAAACTAAGTGTCTATTCATAGACAAGTAGATAAAGAAGATTGGTACATGTATACAATGGAATATTATTCAGCAATAAAAAAGAATGAAATCTTGCCAATTGCGACAACATGGCTAGAAGTAGAGGGTATTACCACCAAGTGAAATAAGTCCGACAGTAAAAGACAAATGTGATTTCACTTATATGTGGAATATAAAAAAGACAGAGAGAGAATAAAATAGAAACAGACCCATAGATATAGAGAACAAGCTGATGCTTGCCAAAGGGAAGGGGATGGGGGGCGACGGAAAAAAATATTCAGAGGGCAGGACAGCTCTAGAAGATAGGGATTAGTTCCATTTCCGAAGGTCAAAGAGGACATATCACTTGTGACTGTGAGATCCAGGCTTGGCCCAGCGTGAGTTTTCAGAACCACCCTGGAGATGGATTGGAAAGACTAGAGGATTGGGGCCCAGGTGGCTGTCCTCTGGTGAAAGGGCTGCTGAGTGGCTTGGAACTACATTTCAGATCCAAGGTGGCCAGTCAGGCACGGGCTCCAGAAAGGGCAGACAGGGCGGGGAAGAGAGACAGCATCTCCCTCTCATCCTGAAGCCCCTTCTTCTCTGGCAGGGGACAAGCTGGACGCAGACTACATTGAGCGGTGCCTGGGCCATCTCACGCCCATGCAGGAGAGCTGCCTGATCCAGCTGCGGCACTGGCTGCAGGAGACACACAAAGGCAAGGCAAGTGCGGGGCTGGGCCGGCTGGAGCAGACGCAGGTTCGGCATTAGCTGCCCAGCCTGGGCACTGGGGAGCAAGGGCCAGGGAGACCAGTTTGTGTCATTGGTAATGCTGGGTACTTAGACTTTGCCTTCTTTTCATTACATATGGTTTCATGTGTCTGTAACACATGCCCCCATTATCACTGACTAGGCCAGTGATGGCGAACCTATGACACGCGTGTCAGAGGTGACACGCGAACTCATTTTTTTGGTTGATTTTTCTTTGTTAAAAGGCATTTAAATATATAAAATAAATATCAAAAACATAAGTCTTTGTTTGACTATGGTTGCAAATATCAAAAAATTTCTATATGTGACACGGCACCAGAGTTAAGTTAGGGTTTTTCAAACTGCTGACATGCCGAGCTCAAAAGGTTCGCCATCACTGGACTAGGCACTGCTGACATTAAGGCCAGACAATCCTTTTTTTTTTTTAATCCTCACCCAAGGATATTTTTCCATTGATATTTTAGAGAGAGTGGAAGCGAGAAGGGTAGACAGAGAGAAATATCGATGTGAGAGAAACACATCGATTGGTTGCTTCCTGCGTACCCCCGACCAGGGCCCTTGCTGGGGAGGAGCCTGCAACCAAGGTACATGCCCTTGACCGGAATCGAACCCGGGACCCTTCAGTCCACAGGCCGACGCTCTATCCACTGAGCCAAACTGGCCAGGACAAGACCAGACAATTCTTCATGGTGGGGGCTGTGCTCTGCACGGCAGGGTTTTGAGCATCACCCTTGACCCCCACCCATTAGATGCCATGAGCTCTTCTTCCCCACATTGTCACAACCAAAAATGGCTCCAGACATCACCAATGTCCCCTGAGGGCACAGTCATCCCCAATTGACAACCACTGCTGTTCACAAAACCAAGCACTCTATTCTTTTAAAAAGAGACTTACTGACTTGCGAGGGTTGATTTTTGACAGGATGTGGATTTTGTCTTTAGACTCTAAGCCCCATCACAAGAAGGTCCAATATGCATTTGGGTCCCAAGCATGGACTTGACCTTCAACTCTGTTGAACTGGAACTTCCTGCTTAGTCATAAGTTGATGGCCTTTCCTCCCCACTTTGGGAGGCAGACAAGGGAGTTAGCACTGGGCTGTGATGTAACCTGTCTACCCCTGCCTCCTCATAGGTAACATTGGGGTAGGGTTAGCATTCGCCTCCCATGGTGAGTGAAAGGGAATCCACGTAAAGTGCTTAGAGCCAAGTCTGGTTCAGAACGAGAACCCACTGAAGGGTGCTTTTGGTTGGCGCTGCCGTTCCCTTGATGGTTGATATTTGCCAGAGGGAAGGAAGGAAGGAGAGCTGGTGGGGTCTTAACGTGTCCCCTCAGCTATTCGTTGGACTCTTTGGGTTATATGTGGCATGAATGCAGCTTGAACAAGGCCAACAAAAAAAAAATGGGGGGGAGAGGAATTATTTATCAACTCATATAACACACTGTTAAGAGGAGTGTGTTTATTTTCTGGGACTGCTGAAACAAAATGCCATAGGTTGGGTGGCTTACAACATCAGAAATGTATTCGCTCCCAGTTCTCAGCCACACGTCTGAGATCGAGGTGAGGGCAGGGTGGGTTCCTTCAGGAGCCCTGCGGGAGAACCTGCTCTGGGTCTCTCCTGGCTTTTGGGAGCTGCTAGCACCCCTTGGCTTGTGGATGCGTACGGTCCTTCCCCAGTTAAATATTTTCAGAGGAGACAGGGGATTCATTTCCCATAATCCTATCTACTGGCTTAGGGACTACCATTCCCTGGGTCGCTCCTCCTTCTTCTCGCAGATTCCCAAAGACCAGCACATCCTTCGGTTCCTGCGGGCTCGTGACTTCCACCTGGACAAGGCCCGGGAGATGCTGTGCCAGTCCCTGAGCTGGCGAAAGCAGCACCAGGTGGACCTTCTCCTTCAGACCTGGCACCCCCCTGCCCTCCTGGAGGAGTTCTATGCGGGGGGCTGGCACTACCAGGACATAGGTGCGTTCCTTGACCTACGTGACATCCGTGCATCCCTGGTCACTGCTGAATGCACTGTGAATACCACTTTCCAGGCTTCTTATTTCTCCTTTGGACTCTTCTGGGCACCTGGAGATGACTGCCCAGCCGTGAAGATGACAGAGCTGGGCTTGAGGCAAATAGTGCCTTGGGGCTGCCACAGCAAATGACCCCAAACTGGGCTGCTTAAGACAACAGAAGTTTATTCTCTCCCAGTTCTGGAGGCAGAAGTCTGAAACCCAGGTGTCAGCAGGCCGTGACCCTGTGCAGGCCCTAGGGTAGCATTCTTCCTCATCTCTCAGAACTCTGGTGGCCCAGCCTCACTCCAGTCTCTGCGTCTGTCTTCACATGGCCTTCCTCTCTGTGTATCCTCTGTGTCCGTTCTTCTTTTTCAAAATATGTTTTTATTGATTTTTAGAGAGAGAGGAAGGGAGAGGGAGAGATAGAAACATCGATGAGAGAGGAACATCATCGACTGGCTGCCTCTTGCACACCCCTTACTGGGGATCAAGCCCGCAACCCTGGCATATGCCCTGACCAGGAATCGAACCAGCTACCCCTTGACTCAATCGCTGAGCCACACTGGTCAGGCCCCTCTTCTTCTTATAAAGACCCCCAGTCATTGGATGTAAGGCCAACAACGATCCACTGTGATCTCCTCTTGAGACCCTACTTCCAAATAAGGCCACATTCTTAAGTTATGGGTGGGTTGTGAATGTTGGGGAGATATTATTCAACCTACTATATATTTTTTGGGGTTTTTTAAATTAAACTGCCATTGAAGCCAGTGCCTCGCATGATTTTCACTGCCCTTTATATAAAAATTCCATACACAGTTGACCCTTGAACATTGCGGGGATTATAGGCACTGACCCACTCTTGTGCAGCTGAAAAATCCATGTATAATTTTGACTCCCCAAAACTTAACTACAGTTGTCCTTCGGTTTATGCAGGGGATTGGGTCCAGGACCCCTTGAGGAAATCAAAGTCCACAGATGCTCAAGTTCCTTATATAAAATGGTGTAGAACAATGCATTGATCTGCTGGTGGTGGAATCCCTGGATGTAAAACCCAGGAATATGGAGGGCTGACAGCATTATTTATTGGAAAAAAAATCCGCATATAAATTGAGCCAAACCCATGTTGTTTAAGGGTCATCTGTATGTTGAATAGAGCAAATGCTTGACTCTCCTGAAGAGACATTGTCCTTCAGGGAGTGGGTCCTCATTATTCACCTACTGCATTTATCACCCCCAAATCAATACTCAGGAAGCGTTGGTGGTCATTTGCGGACGTGTGCAGAGAGCCCGCGCTGCACGCCCCCAGCTGAGGTTGAACTGGGCGTCTTTCTGCCTTCCTGCTCCAGCGCTCAGACTGGAAACAGCATCCTTTTTGCAGTCTACTCAGTGCCACTTTCTTTATTTTTATTTTATTTTTGTGCGTTTGGTTGTGATTTTGCTGTTTACAACGGCCTCCAAGCATAGTGCAGAAGTGCCGTCTCGTGTTCCTAAGTGCACGATGGCTATGATGTGCCTTACGGAGAAAATGCGTGAGTTAGATCAGACCTGCATTACAGTGCTGCTGGCCGTGAGTTCAATGTTACTGAATCAACAAAGTATAACTGAATAAGGTGTCCTTAAATAGAACCACAGAAAACAGGGTTATGTATTGACAAAAATATTATGACTAGAGGCTGGCAGGAACCTAACCCTGTGTTTTTCCTGGAAGCAGTGGGTCTGTATTCGATACTTCAGTGCTCAAGGTGATTGTAGAACAACGAGAATAACAAGAATCGAGTGCATTGGTCTCTAGTTCCTTATTTTTCCTTTTTGCTTTGGCCGACAGAAAGCTAACAGCCGACTTTTATCTACTCTCTCCATGCTCCTTCATTAAATGGCTCATCTCTTTTTTAAAGTTTTTAAGCTAACCTTTTAATGTTAGGACAGTGAGGGGTTTTCAGAATAGTAGTGAGGGTCATACAGAGAGTTGCTGTATGCACCTCACTCCGTTTTTAGCACCTGCTCTGTTTCTTCCACCATGATTAGTGTCAGCCCCTCGCAGGAACAGGCAAGCTATTAGTAAATGATGGAGGGATGGGCCGCAGGGAGCCAGGCCTGGACCCTCCTTCTCTGAGGAGGGTGAGGTCTCACCACGGCTTCGACCCGCCCTCTCCCCAGCATTCCCTACA